ACAAAATACTTGCTCACCATGTCATAATTGTCCTTAGGTTTCCAAGCACTATACATGACACATGACCGGCAAGCGCTGACGTAACATGGCTGAGTGCGCATAGTGGTATAAACAGACTCAAGGACAAACATAGATAAGACATGCCAGCTGACAGGTACCTTGCGTGAACTCGCCAGAAGACCACACTTTTCTCGGGCCATTATCTCCGTAACCATTCAACTTTGGACGTAGGTATTTTGGGTTATATCGGCATACTATAACATAAGGAACACCCTCCCGAAGTTTGGCACATTCCTCCTGGGACACCCTGTATATATTTCATGACTTTTGGGACACACCTTGTAAAAGTGTGTGTCACTTAAGATAAGAGATGAGTGAAGGCAAAGTTAGGCACCATTTTTGGTAGTCCACAAAGCTACCAACAATGTTGCTGTGGTCATACAAGTGTGGAGACCTCTGTCAGACAAGTGTGGGAACAACTTTAAATCACCCAACTCAACTGGACTAGACAACTGGGTAATGTAACACACCCAAGCGGTGTCCGAATGGAAAATGAGTGACAATACACACATCACTTGAGGTTAGAAGCATAAAAGACTTAACTGTCACAGCACAGCATTAGAAACCAACCAACCACTAATATTTATTCGTAATACAAGGAATGATAGGCAAGTCTGAATTCAGGGGAAATGTTTATCGTTTTGAAACACCGCATTTTAAATTTTGTACATCTGGAGGTCTGGTGGCAATATCTGAAGTGGGGGGAGGGGTGATGATACTGGTGATGAATAAAATGGAGAAGTCAGCAAGCTAAAATGTGCAGTGTGCAGTTGAATAAGTCTGATGCATGCTTGACAAAGTTTAACCGGTCATAATATGCGAAAATTCTGAGCTGTCTGCTTCTTCATTTATGTTAGCTATTTTGATGGCATAAAAATGTCATATTAAAATATATCAAACACATTACAATTTTCTCATACAATCAGTTTCATCAAAGCCGAGTTACAGAGAAATATCAGAGACCTTCTCTGTGTCCATCATCACGGACGATGTGTAGAACAACTGCGTAAGTCATTGATCTATACATAAAAGCCAGTCAATAAGAAGCCTCTTCCTCACTGGTGCACCATGCAAGAGAAGGCATAAGGTAAAGATGTCCCCATGCTTAATGAATTATGCACTATGCCATGAAGGCATATGGGAGACTGGTTGTATGGTTCCACATTTTCTTGACTTCAGCACTAGCTGGAGGTGAGTGGTCAGCTTCATGCCCCTGCCACTTTACCCTGGGGAAAGAGCCCCCAGTACCAATTGGACAGGAGATTGGGTGGAGCCCAGAGTCAATCTCATCAATTTGGAGAACAGAAAAAGTCCCACTGTGACTTGAACTATGACCCCTTGATTGTCCAGCCAGTCACTATACTGACTACACTAAAGCAAGAAAAGGGTCCAGTCAATCGGCTGTTGAGGTCAACTGGTGCTGTTAGAAGTATTTCTTGTTCTTCTTCCTCATTCTGCTTGTGAGATTTATGAATGTCAATGCGACTGGATCTACTCAGAACGTTTTAGGAAAAGCAGATGATGTGCATGAATTGTTATGATATTTGCCTACAAGGAATGACAAAATCATCAAAGAGACTCCTAAATGTGGCGCAGACAACAAAAGCACAAATCTTTAAGCAAACTTCCTCCCGGCCTCTTGATGCTCAATAACAATAACATCATTCAAAAAGGCTTCCCCCTCCTATTAAAATTTGCAAGATGGCCTTATTTAGATTTTGAAGTCAATTGAAATGAACTCAGAGACTTTGGAGTAGAGATCATTAACAATAGTTTCCATGGGCACTGAGCCAAGTATCATGCTGAAGCACCTGCCAATAGAGCCCCTCCATAAAGAACTCCCTGGACTGCTGCGGGAATCATTTCATGGTGGCCCTCATGTCTTTGCCTGACCTGGATCTACAGCCCCTTAGTGGCTCTTTTGAGGGGGGCACCACAGTATTCCATCTAAACAATGCCCCACAATTACACTTCCATTCACGGTAATTTTATCTCTTCCTTAATACACAGCTTACCTGAATAATGCTCCTAAGTGTAATGATGGTTCCACCATCTTGAACTGTAACATCAGACACAAGGCCCCATGCGTCCTTGCTCTCTCCTCTGTGATTCAGTGAAAAGTAACGCTTATCTGCTCGAACGACTGGAAGCTCCAATTCACAGTCCTTCATTTCACTCACCTGGAGCAAACAGTAAATGTTCAGGTCATGTCTCATGTAAAAGGAATAAAAATACCTTAAAAACATACATATGCGTTTTCTTGCATTCCTGAGCTTCTATTGGTAGTTACTTACCCGTACAGTAAGAAACTTCTCGGTGACCTTGTTTTTCTCAGATGTGGTGCCAGATGTCAGGATATTAACTGTCAGATCTTCTGGCTTCTCAAGGCACAGTCCCACTCTGGCTCCACTCTGTAGCACCACTTGATTCACCCCCTCTCCCTCCTTCGCATCCTGTACCTGCAAAGCGAAACAGTGCTATCTGCATAACTGGTTGCTAACATATTTGAAAGTAATATTCCTTTCTACAAACACAAGCACAGAATCAAGGAATTTTTATGAGGACTTGTTAGAAAAGACAACAGCCTTCTGTACAGAAAGTCTCAGATTTCCTGAATTCATTAAGATTCTTCTAGATGCCTTACCTTCCTTCACTTTAAAAATACACAAACATTTTCAGATTACACCTTAAGCTGTAGGCTCCCTCCTGTTGCTGTCATCATCACATACACCAACATAAAGATCATGAATGGTTATCGCCATCACCGTCATCTTTACATTATCACATCTGTCACACAATGTTTTTATTATTTCTCTCAGAACATTTTTCAGCCCAGAAAGACCATCATCATGTGATACATGACAAATATACAAATGGTAATGGAATTCTATAAAATTAAAATTACAATACTAGTCATCACTTGACAATGGCCTACCTGGCCTGAAACATATTATTAAGTAAAATAATAAAACCACTGTTTGTGTGAAGGAAAACCTCTCCATTTTTATTTTTAAACACCACAAGCAGGATGTAACACTGTGTGACCATCATATTTACACTCATCCTATCACTGGGGACAAAATAGAAATTCTGACCAAGAGATGGTACCATCTAAAATGGTTTTCTACTATCTTTACAGCCAGGTAAGCAGGGAAAGAATGGCAAAAAAACTATGTTTAGAGACACATACCATAAAATGTAAGGATCTCTTGTATGTGAAGATGACTACTTGATTCAATTAATCCTTTAAATTGATTTGTAGGACCGATTCCCAAACTGTGTTCAACAAGATCCTGGGATTCCACAGCAGGATCTGGGATGTAACAGTTTGGCAGACAAATACTAACAACTCAGAGGAACTTGCTGGCTCCATCTTCTGGACAGAAGGATGAAGATAGGAGGTTCTCCAAAACAATGGTACCTATCCACCAAACTACATAAATCACATTCCTGAAGACAGTGATCTTCAGATTTTCAGAGGTTCCATGAATAATATTATATTTCAGCATCCTGTTGCTTTGAGGTATTATTCAATCATACGTACAGCGTCAATAATGCAACAACAATATTTAAAATAAATAAAAATAACACCTAAAACATGTTCTTCACTAAAAGTGTAGTTTTAATACTTCACTGTACTCTTTGCTTGTCTTCTGTGCTCTACAGCACGTCCTTATTTTTTTGTTGTGTCACATATCTAGGACTCTGTCACTGTATCCCTTTTGCAGCTATCGCACTGCAATATATAATGTGTATTATTCTGTATGATTTTAATCTTGTCTTGTATATCATATGTTACAATTTTGGTACTTATGTTTTGTATATTTGTCTTTAGTGGGGTCTTCTCATATACTAACTGTAGTGCAGTTGCTTGCGCTTAAATATTTTTGTAGGTAGCATATATACTGCTATCTATCATAAAGTTCATGCACTGTTTGAAATATTTGGTTGTGCGCTTGAATGTGTATATCGTTCATGTGTAAATTGCTCTTATATATTTTGTAAATATGGTATCTTTGGCCAAAACATGTAGCGAAATAGTGTCCAATAAAGGAATACTGAACGACGCTGTACTTAGATGGTGCTAAAACTCCTAAGTCAGATAATTCTCCACAATATTCCCATAGATTTATGTATGCAGGGCAGAAGAGCTCACCAAGCATAAAGGTAAGGTAAGGTAAAAATATCCCCAGGGCCCCAGAACTGGTTTGGACAATGTGGAGAAGACCCCTCAGTCATCCAGAATGTAACAAGTCACTATACCGACTGCAATAAGCCAGCTCCATTAATATACATTAAGGAGGTACTGAAAACAAGACCCTCAAAAGCCATCTACATGAAATATTAATTTGTTCAACAGTTTCAATCCATTTGGCATTCATATCTACATAAGTTTCAAAATGGAATTTTCACTTGAAATTTGGTTTTTGCCTCCTTCATTTTCTTCTCCAGAGAATGAGTATGACTGCCTCATGGTCATACATAATATAAATACAGAAAAAGTTAAAAGTACAGGGAAATCCCTATATAATGAATCTCAGGAGGAATGACTTTTGTCACATTAAATTGAGGTTTCCCTTATGTGGGGGGTTACGTAAAATTACATCAGAGAATTGTTCACTTCTTTTATTGTGTATAATTAAGATGAAATGATTTCTTTACATATGTACATAAGCAGTTTCTACACAAATAAATACAACTAAGTACATAATCAATAACATCAGATTACATTCTAAAATAAACAAACACATGAAATACACACTGAAAGAACATCAGCTGAAAGCAGCAGAGGTTCAGCATGTGTGAGATATGTGACATCACTCGCCATATATTATGGTTGTTGTTCAGTAACAGTTTCAGGCAGACAGAAAATGTTAATACTGATTTCTGTTTTGACCAGTCACACTTCATAGAGATAGAAGTTCTGGTCGATCAGAAATGTCTCATGACAAATGTGCACTACTTACTAAATTAATGTTCACTAATATGGAATAGTACACTGCTTTCATCAGACTTTGGCTGGGAACAGAAAAATAAATAACTCTGGAAACACTGTTATTTCACTGTAATTACAGTCTTTTTCCTTACCTGAAATGGGCCTTTGTTCAACAAAAGTGTAACGAGAAGTCCTGTATCATTCTGAACTATGTAAGGCGACACTGATTTGGGTCGCTTGGGTCCTTCTTTTACTGCACTCTGAAAAGCTTTCCCCAGGTTGGTCAGCACATCCAGGCAACTCTTGGTCATTGTCAGCTCCAGGTTTTCCTACAGACAACAGCTTACATATGCACTTCATACAGGCAAACTGTCAATGCACAGAATGGGCACAAAACTGGGACAACCACAGCCTGGTACAAGATGTTAATAAATTTGTATTCTTACCCCTACGAGTGTCACATGTTGAAAATTTTGACCTTATGCAGGTGGTTGGGTAACCAGTTTTGACCTTTACAACAACTGCTACATCTGTTAGCATTCTACATAAACTACATAGTCAAGATAATATCCAGAATTGTTTTTTGCCACACTTGGAAATTCTTACAGGGTCTATATACCCAAGAAAAAGGGCAGCTCTAACAGCCTAAAATGGTACCTTAGCACCACAGGAATTAAAGCTGGTACTTCCAGGGTTGAAAGTCTGTCATAAAACAGCTGAAATATAAATGATATTCATCATTCATGATTTCAAGTATATAGCTTAAACATGACGGGCGAATTCAGTTGATACTTAATTTCACATTACTTTTAATTTTTGCATTGGCATTTTAAACAAATTACCCAGTACTTAAAGCAACACATTATACCTCTGACACAACATAACTCTCACCAGTAATTCTTCATTGCTTGACTCACCTTTGAAATCACTTCAATACTCATGGCTGGAGGAACAAATGGTATGTCCTCCAAGTCTGAGGCTGTCTGTGAAAGTGGGCTGGAGATCGGTTCCTGGGAATTCATCTGAATCTGAAAATACAGCACACAACTCCCTCACATGATCACAAATTTCTTCAAATAGGCAGTTAAACGAAAGTGGAATGACACTGTACAATTATTCCTGAAAGATCAAAACATAAAATTTTGAAATGCAGAATATTACCTTCCGGGATGTGATGCCATGCAGCCACTTCTACCAGACTACATGGTGTAATGTGAACTTCTACCAGACTACATATTGTCAGGCGGAACTGTACTGGACTACATGACATCATGGTGTACTTATACCGGATTACACAAAATCACAGCAAACTTCTACTGGACTATATACTTGTAATGTAAGGAGAAGTTTAATTGCAATACATGAAGTCACATCCCATGTGATGGTATTCTTCACAGTTTCAGACTTCTCTTTCTTAAAAAGGTAACAGCCTCAGATCCCACTTCTCTAAGTTCGTACGTACAGGGCATTCAATGATCAAGGAAACCTCGCAGCAGCATATAGTGGACACAACATTTCTTACGGATTGCTGCTGTAACTGCCGATAGTGGAATGAGTCATCAGCACTGATAAACGTTCACACTCTTGCTAGCGTAGAGCGGATGGATCATTTCTCCGCGACTACTGTGCCCTTCCCCACTAGCAAGAGTGCAGTCATGTTGCTGATTCCCTCACATCACTTTCTGTACATGCACACATTTATAAGAATACTGTAAAAAGACAACACAAACCTACCGTGCTTTATAACAGGTGCTGAAAGTGACCCCCTTCTGCTTGCAAACATGCCTTGCAACACATCGCATAAATTATGAGACACTTTCTGAAATTGGTCCATGGTAACTGAACCAATTATGCATATTATTTCATTCCAGAGCTTCAGTGCTGCAAGGATTAGTCTTGTAGACCTTTCTCTTTAGGTTTCCCCAAATATAAAAATCGCAAAAACTGAGATCTGGGAGGCCACAGTCCCCTGCTGATTATTCTGTCTTCAGACACTTCCTGTATTGCAACCATGGTTGCAGTAGCTGTGTGTGCTGTAGCATGGCCTTGCTGAAAATACCCATATTGTCTTTCTTCAGCAGTCAGCTGACTGAAGAACAGATTCAGTATATCATTAACGTAGCGGTCAGGGTTCATGGTTTCATGGAAGAATAAGGGGCCAATGATTTACCGTGGACTTAGAGCACACCACACCCCCACCTTTTCGTTATGTAATGGCACTTGCTGTATAGTGTGAAGATTTCCATCGCTCCATATTCTTACATTTTGTGCAGTGACATGGCCACTAATGTGAAACCTCGCTTCATCAGTCATGAACAGAAGCTGTGGACCCACGATTCCATCGTGCACATTTTGCAGCAGCCAATTGCAAAAACGAATTCTTGCTGCATAATCTGGTTGTTTCAGCTCATGCACAACTCTTACTTTATACAAGCTTCGATACACACAACTTTGTGGGAACTGGTGAGTCAGGATATTTATGACAAAACTTACGGATACATTTTCTGTTAGTTTTTCCCTTGCAAAAGTTTCAACAATAAATACACACTGTTCAATCATGAACTTCATATCAGTATAAATGTTGACTGCCTATCGACACCTCTAACAGACACTGACTATCAATGTGACTTACTGAATTGACAAGATCACGCCACCTGACAGCGTGTTTATCAGCGCTAATGACTCATTCTGCTATCGGCAGTTACAGCAGCACTCTGTAAGAGCAGATGTTTATGCTCTACAGTGTTGCCAGGTTTCCTCGATTATTCAACGCATTGTATAAAGTTTGATCAAAGAAGTTCTAAAACTGACTAATCTATGAAGCCATTTCAAGTTACCATTTATTTACATTATCAGATCAGTTAATTTAAATGCCTTCTATACATTACATTACAGTATGTTAAGTGCAGCAAGGGAAATTTCAATCTACTATGTTACAAAAGCTTCAGTGAAAGAGTTGGCAACTTTCCCCAAATTCACCCTTCTCAAACAATGCTGCCACTGTCTCCATAGAAAAACAATTTTGTACAGATGTGATATATTGATATCTTGCACTGTGAAATGGCTGGAATAAAGGAATACTGTGTTTTCTTCTCATGTTATGCGAAAGTCTGGAAGATGGTTGAAGCAAATTACAGCTGCTAAAAGTGACATCTGGAAATGACACCGTCAGATACTCATCGAATGTTCTGAGATATATATATATATACAATATACTGAGTAATCTTGATTACTGTATAGCAAATTTAGACAGACAAAAAAACATTTAATTTTAATATCAACATGAAACTTACATCAGCTCGGAGCTCCCATGGGCAATGCATAATCTTGCCATCCTTCACCTGCTCTACAGGTTCAATGAGGGGCTCCCACAGAGCCTGTTCACTATTATAGTAGGCCACCTGTACTGTCAAACCACTGGAAACACTCATCTACACAGAACAAAAATGTTACCACAATAAAATATAATGGAGAATGGTCCAACGATATTAACAGGAAGCCAACAAATCATATTGAAGACTTCTATCTTTTAGGATACACATAACGTTGTGTAGTCTCCTTAAAGTCAACCAGCATTTCAGAGGAACATGCCTCTTCCATCTTCAGGGTCAAACAATTAGCAGAGCACGAAACCAGCATGAAAGTGCATGACATACCCCATAAGACAGAACTCTTCATAACTACCACTGTGAGAACCTCAAAACCTACAAAAATCATATTCATTATAGGCTATCTAATTATTCAGAAATTCATTCCTTAATTAAAATAAATATAAAACAGAACGGAACTGCTTAGATGACTCAGCAAATACTAGAAGCTCAGTACATTAAATGGCAGCAAAACTCGTGTATATTTGGCAATCATGTCCTTGCTCCTCCAGAACAATTTCTGAGCAATACCTCAATAATTAAAGAAATGTCTGAAGAGTGTATCTGCAATTGACTGCATGGACTGCATTAATTAAAGCACTGTTATGCTCAAGAAGTAAGTATGTCTAGTGTTCAGTGCAGATGTTCCTAACAATCTTGATGATCAGGTTAAAACTCATCTAACTACATAATATAAACACTGCAAGAGCAGAAAAGACATCGCCCATAAGCCTATATACTGAAATCAGAACAACATGTTCTGTCTACTTCACAGTATCACTACAATGGCATCAAGCCTACATATACATCATAATCCATTTTATGAAAAGCTTCAACATCCTATGCAGCTGATTTCCAACACTGAAGTTACACATTTCATACAAGTTATAGAAACCTTGTGCTCCACACATGACAACACTGTGGTATTTGACTTATTCATATGACTGGTTAGCCAGGCATATTACTTCTTAAAGAATTTGATAGTTGATAGTGGAGCCAGAATAGCTCAGTTAGCATAGCAGCTAGGCTATGGGCTAGATGACTAAGGAGTTGGGGTTCAATTCCTGGTAGAAGTGAGAGATCCTTCTCCTTTCCATACTGACCAGACTGGCTATGGGGCCCACCTAGCCTATTATACAATGGATGCCAGGGCTGTTCCCCTGAGGGTAAAGCAGCAGGGGTATGAAGCTGACCACTCACCTTCAACACCAAGGTTAAAAATAATGGAGCTATAACTCCACTTCCCCATACATCCTCATGGTGTGGTATTTAATTAATTAAGCCCAGGGATAACTTCACCTTTTATCGTTGATGGTAGATCTGATGAGTGCTGATTATTCTTTTACCAAAACTGTACTGCCAATGAGTTTAGTAGGCTTTGGTGAATGAGAATTTCAGCGGGAACTAACCTGTGTGCTCCAGTTTGTAACAGAACCCTGAAAACCGATATCCACCAGTATCATGGGTAATGTTTGACTCCCCACACCTGCCTCCATGGTGATTATGACAGATGGTGCTGATAGGATACATATCTCACCAGTTGGTGGGGCTGGCTCTACTGCCACACCTGAACCCAATACAGCATCTTCTCCCACTTCTGTGAACAAATCAGTTGTCATATTATTTTATTCTATTATGGCTCTACAGCCCTTTGTTGGGCCTTGGCCGCTTTTTCAGTTTCTTATCTATTCACAGTCAGTAGAACTCCTTGGATGGGGGTCAGCCCACTGCAAAGCCTCTACCTACACATAACAACACAAACAGAACAAACACATACAGATATTCACGCCTTGAAAGGAATTCGAATCTATGACCCCCATGTGTGAGTGGGCCAAGACCGTTCATTATTACTTGCTGGAAACATTCACTGTCAGTGGGATCTGTACAATGAAGCATGACTAGCCCCAAGATAACAACTCTGTAAAAGGACGAACTGCAAGTAATAAGAATTTTGTGGCACTTTAAGACTAGGAGGGGAAGAAGTGTATGTGTGGAGAGGAGGAGGAAAAATTACATACAAGTTAATTAACTGTGATACCAAATGAGAAAAGAATGCACTCTACAAGACAAGGGACATGGAATGCAACTTACCTGTTTTTAGGAACCAGTACTCAGCATCATGAAAATTCTTTGGAGTCCAAATATTAGAGTAATCCACTTCTGTTGCCTGTTCCTCAGCCTCGGCAGATACAACAGCCAGCTGACTTTGCACACTGCTCAGAAGCCCAATGGTAGCTGTCAACAAGACATGTAATTGAAGTCCACCCAACAAGGTAATCAAACTACATATGATAAAAACCTAAATTATAAATGGCTAAACAACAAAAGAACACGATATCTTGGGTGTTGATGGCATTGAATATTAAGATATGGTCTCCCAGAACTGTGGTAACTGACTATACACTTTAAAGTGATCAACTAATTTAAGCCAATTTCAGTTAACAGTACTTGTTTTAATACAAACTGCTTGCCATCCATCTGAGAGAGGGAGAAGGGGGAGCAGGGTACTGTGTGATTAGAGGAGGAATTCAAAGGGTGAAGGGGAAATCTGGTCTAGCCATGCAACCTCTTCTGTGCATCTACTGCTGCATGAAAAGTTTGAGGTTGATAAGCAACTACAGCAGGACGATTTTTTAAATATGTCATGGACAGCAGATCTATCAAATAGCTGTGGCAAAATTTTACTATAAACATCAATGGCCATAAATACAGAATCAATTTTGCTGATTCTTTAAACTAATTCAATCTCCACTGCCACAGCTATCAAGTGCTTCATCAGAGTCTTCAAACATCTCCACATACAACTCAATGACTCACCTATTAGACCACCCACTCATCTGATTGTTAATTTTTATTATTTCTTCATTATTACTATGAGCTCCTACCATCTAGAAACTATTCAACAATGTATAATATACATTTTGTTTACATGTTTCTTAATGTTTGAGACAGAAATAAAAAGTGCAAGTCTTGGGACAACTGGGCGAATGATTTTGATTCACTGGTACAAGTTTTCTGCATATGTTTCAATTATGTTATGGCATCTCATTTCTTAGCAATGACTACAGCTCTTCTTTCAAAGTAAATAAATATAAACACAATTTAATCACACTGAAATTATATAAATATTATTAAAATAAGAAAAAGGAGGTATTGTACTGCATAAGACATTCTGTTTAAGTATGAGAAATAACATTAAGGCACTTTTTATACTCAATCTCCAATATTTCCATTGATTCTCACATGAAAATTATGTTTGATTTATGTGATTTCATCCTGTGTAACTTTTCTTTGGAATACAGCTGTTATAAATGGAGAAGTACCTGTACTAGAACCTTCAGTTTACACATGTCATTCTTCAGGTTCATACACAGTTGTCACTTCCCTCTGTACAAAAAAAACTCTGATGACGTGTGTGAGATTTTGGTAACACAGTATGCTGATACACTGGTTGCAGGTAGCATTAATTTCTCCATCGTTATTTTCACAAAAATGCTAATTCAGGACAGCTTCTTGAATCTTGTTTGTTTTTTAATTGGCTGTCAGGACACTGTGATTATGTAAAGCTGAGCCCCTTACAGACTATACAAGTTACTAATAATACTGCGAGATGATAGGATAGTCTAACATGAGGCGTCATCAAACCAGTGGCCGCCGTGCCAAGTGAACCCAGCTGGACTCCACCCCACACTAGCGAACCATCTTCAGCATTAATGCTTCTGGGGGGTGTTCAGAAGCCCTCATACAGATCTTGCAATGGTTAGAGTAGCAAATGGGAAGGCATTACTAGATGAAACAGAGGAGTGGGATGATATCCAATATGGAGCAACCATGTGAGCGAGCAAATGAGATAATGAAAAAGTTTCATCATCTCTTTTCCTGACTACCTCATCACCAAAAATTCCCTTTCTTCAATCACATGGTCAATCTGTATTGGGTTAATACCCCACTCCTCTGTTATGTCCAATCACACCTTAACCTCCAACACACCAGCCACTACCAGTTCCATACATGGCTTTCAATCACATCCTCCCACCCGTTTTAAAGATATTCATACTGACAATGGCAACTTAAATAGAAAACCTTCAACAATTGATACAGCTTATTCCTCAAAGACAAAGTTATACAATTTGTTTTGAGGTCTTTTAAGAGATACTTCAGCCCAGAAATTCAAGTTATCAAGGATCACTTCATGGGCTGAAATAATCTCTCCAGACAATTTCAACATCCATCAAATAAGCAAAAGAATCACTGTCAATGCAAACATAAGCTACCTACTTACCTGGTGAAACTCTTAGTCTGATATCAGTCATGCACACATCCAGATGCAGGCCTTGACCCTCTGGAGTAGAGCCTGCAAGACTAATGCTGCATGGATGCAGAATCTGCAATAGAAATGCTTTGTACAAACTCAGAATTCAAACTAAGGAGTTAACTGAAAATGAAGGGCAGGAAAAAAGAAAAATTCACTAAACAACAGTGGGTGGAGCTGTGATCTGGACTCTGACATGGCATTGCCTTATAGGTCAATACCAATATTTCAGAGAATTCCACCGCCGTGTAAAAAGCCAAACATTTTGGAGGAACATATCATCTCCTTTTTCACGGTCCAGGAGTAAGAGTACAGTAAAGCTATCCCTGTAACAGGCCATGAAGGCCCATAGGGTTGTGAGATGCTGAGGGTCCCACATTATCTAGACAATTGGCTCAAAGATGGCAGTAAGGTTGTCAGCCTTAAGTGCCAGCCACACTTTACCCCCCAGGAAAATTATTTTATTAATCCCTGGTACTCATTTCTGTTAAAGGCTGAGTCAATCCCAGGGCCACAGTGCGACTGGAAGGATTAGGTCAACTGAAAAAAATCCAATGACCTCATCAGGACTTGAACCTGCAACCTTCTGGCTTGTAGCACCGTGCCTCAACCAACTACCCTACCGCATGCCCCCAGGTCCAGGAGTAGGCCAAGCGAAAGCCCTGCTTGTCACCTGCTTCTTTCTGGTTTCCGTTTGGCTTACTCTGCAGTGCCAAAGATGGTGACATGTTCCTCTGAAACACCTGGCTTCTTCTGAACTACACTGCCTCACACTCAAAAAGACTGTACTCTTCATAGTCATCACTGTGGGACTCTCAAATCCAGTGTTTCAGAGCAATATTCTGCCTCCATTTTCAGGGTTGAAGTGTGCAGCTTCAGGAACTGGTTGTGTTATATGGTGAAGCTGCACGCAAGTTCGTCATGCAGACCTATGTGAAGAGGTGAGGGGAGGGTGTTCTGTCTGGTGCTACATTCTCAAGTTGAACAACATACTTGGTGCAAAATAATGATAACTAGTACACACAAATGAATGAATGAATGGATGTATAAGGGGTGGGCCTTCTTGGTCCTTGCACTGCGACCACAGTAGTACATACAAAGATATAGCCACCTATAAAATAAAGTGAAAAATAACACTCTTGTACATTACTGACTCCATTTTCAACTAACATAATACAAATGTATCTCCCATTAACATCAACTAGTCATGTGCTGCAGTACTGCAACATATATGCATAGTCCAAGTGACTAACCATTAAATTCTTTTCAATTCTAATGCCGTTACCAAGTTAACGCTTTATAGCTGGTGCAAAATAAACACTCTTTTCTCTCAAGGTGGAGTTTAAAGGGGTACAAAAAATTCATAATTTCATCACATCTGGCATATAGATTGTGAAATTTCTGCACATGTAAGGAAAATGTTGCACCAATATGAAAAACAAAAAACTAAAGGTACTTACATTCAAATATACAGTGGTATTAATGACATACATATTATGATATAAACTATGACTGTATATCACTAAAGCATGTGACAAAATATTCTTAGAACAGCACATAACCTCTCCTTGATACTCAATACATTTGCCAACATAAGAACATGTTGAATGGGGGGGGGGGGCCTTCATGGGCAAAGGGAGAGACTACACAAACTGTGGTATAGTAGCAAATGCTGTGCCTAACTGTAGGTGGCATCGTTTCACATTGCTCTTATGCAATGACTTCTACTGTTGAACCACAAAACTACATGCTCTGAGTTGTTAAAAAGTGAAACTTCTGCTACAATATTGCAGGTAGCTTTCTTACAATAGATTTATAAGGTTATGGCAGTACTTCTACCACTGCTGTTTTCCTGGTGAGGCAAGCAATGTGATACATTACGGCTTGATTTAAAGTGTTAAAATCCAGCTGCCAGCATAACAGTACTGACAGACTAAAAATTCCCTACTCTTAAACTGCATTACTGTTGCACACGCAATTACCTAACACAACTACAGTTCACATAACATTTGTATTTATTGCATTTATCCTACATGGGTATGGCCAATAAAGTACAGCTCAATTTTCATACTTAGGCCTTCAAATAAAAAGTTTTGAGTAGAAGATTAATCTTTTGCCAGTAAACACAGCAGAAGCTGACATACATGAAGGGATCACCATTCCATGCTACTCCTCGGCAGTGAGTATTTGGTCACAGTTCAGTATATGATGAAAGCAATATTCACACACATCGTTAAAATCATTAACCTTGTCAGTACCTGAGCCATAGTTTCTTTTCTCCTTTTGGGGTTGAAACAGCATGAATACAGTTGTAAATCCTTGATAGAGCCATTCATCACTTGATGACTGTCAGCTATGCGAAGCTTGAAAACGATTTCATTCTAAAAAAAGATCAAAGGTACCGAGAACAATAACAACCATGAAAGGTCACATTTTGTGACATATGTACATATATTATAAGCATTAAATAATACAAAGGGTAACACCAAATAGACTTTATTGTTTGCCTCCTGTTGTGTGTCATGATTTGTGATATTCTGGCTACCAACACCACAAATATTAAAAAAAACAATAACAAAAAAAAACAATCTAGTTATTTACATTGGTTTTGTTTAATACCTGCTACATATTTTGGACCATCCTCAGGCAGTTTCATTAAATACAACTCATGTTATTGAAATATACTAACATGAATCCATGATAATAGAGCCAAGAGGATGACATGTAAAGTACAACATGCAGATTTATCCTTACTACATAATATCAGTGTAACAGCTGCCATCTACAGTATCTGGTCACATTAATTAGGAAACCTGGGCCACTTAAACACAATTATTGGAAAGTACATTACAGAGAACTTGTTGCTGTTTGTTTAGTGCCTCCAAGTACAATCTGTGTTGATTTTTGATTTTTCTGGCCTCTGCAACCTATACAAGAATGCAGATGGAAAAGACACCCCCAGGGCACATCATAATACTCCAAATGGTAACATGATCCTGCAGAGGGTTACCTACAGATTTTACATGGGTTCCAAATCACAAGGGCGGAGGCTTGAAAGAGAAAGTCTATAAAAATAACTTATGTACTCTAGATTCTTTACAGTTTAAAATCTGGAATATTATTCCAGAAATAATGTTGTATGTTATCCCTCAGATCATGTGGCATTATGTCATAGAATTAAGTAGTTACAGGAAACTATCTATGAGCAGGAACAGAACTTCCAACAGGGTAATGTAATTGTTTGTGATATTCTCAAGAAATAGCATCTGTCCACTTGCCGACATTTCATTCTACAAACAACTTGTAATATGGACGGACGGACGGATGGACGGACGGACGGATGGATGAACGGAATGAATGCATCTACATCAGGAGTTCTCAACCTTTGTCAGACTGTGGCCCAGTAAATTCTATTTTCTGTAAGACGAGGGCCTGGTATGAGAGGGCCTGGTGGTTGAGAAACAATCATCTACATCTATTAAGTTTAACGTTCATATTCATATACATACATTAAGTATGATTGCACTGGTGTCCAGATCTTCCATGTCTTCCACAAGTATGATATCAGGTTTTTCAACACGGACATTCACTGTCATCATGGAGGCTGAAGATGGCGGGGAAGCAGTAGCACTGGTAGTTGATGACCTTGACTTCGCAGCTGTCACCGTGCTTGCTTTAGATGATTTTGCAGGTAGATTATTAAATTGTGAGGTAATAATTTCTGCAGAAGCATCCTCAGTGGTTGTTGCTGAAGGTGCCATGCCACTGGTGAAGAAGTCTGCTACTTTCATTAAGTAACTCAGGCACAGAATCAGTGTAAAGCCAAATATGCGGAGGTCAACTGCAGCAAATGAACGCAACAGAGACCAATTATACAAACAGCCATAAAATATAAGACTGATATAGAACTCTTGTGTTACTCTTATTACTTAATATTACTCTTATTAAAGAAACTGTAAGGACATGAACTTTCTTAATCAACAAGTCTATAAATTAATTTATTTCATTACTTTTTTCTATATATGTATGACTGTTCTCAATAATCCTAATTACAGCCATGATTTCTGTCTATTTTTTATTCTGTAATTCTAGTACCTATTCTATCACTCCCACTAATGGAGCTGAGCCCTTCTTGGGAACCTGCCAATTGTGCAGCTACTCAAGAATTTTCCAGCATTTTATGAAACCTGAAGGTTCATTACCATGTTCATAAGAGCCCTCCACTGGTCCCTATCCTCAGCCAGATAAATCCAATCCATACCAACCAATCCTGTACCTCTAATATCCATTTTAATATTGTCCACCCAAATACGTCTTGGTCTTCTTAGTGGTCTCTTTCCTTCTGGCTTTCCCACCAATATCCTACATGCATTCCTCTTTTCCCCCATTTGTGCTACATACCCTGCTCATCTCATCCTTCTTGGCTTGATCATTATAATTATATTTGGAGAGTAAAAGTTATGAAGCTCCTCATTATGCAGTGTTCTCCAACCTCTGGTCATTTCATCTCTCTTTGGTCCAATTGCAACTTATTCAATTTCATGTTCCATACAGAATACCAGTATAATATTGTGCAGTGTTAGGCCATGCTATAGCTCAAGCGGTTAGTCACTGGCTTCCCACCGCAGCGGACTGGGTTCGATTCCAGGTCTGGTCAAGTGGGATTTGTGGTGGACAAAGTGGCACTGGGGAGGGTGTTCTCTGACTACTTCGGTTTCCCCTGTCAATCTTCATTCCACCAAATTCTCCATCATCATAATCACCCGGGGCAGGCTACAATAGGCCAATCAGTGGCCGCCATGCCAAGTGGACCCAGTTGGACTCCACCCCCACTAAGCAAATTAAAAAAAAAAAAATTGTGCAGTGTTTCAATTACACTGGTCAACTTCAACCACACATACTGTGCAATTTGCACATAATATAAAACTAAGGAAGCTATAAGTGGCACTACTTCCTACACATACCTACCATACACATTGTGTGTTCATGTCTCTGTGCATCTGTAAGTGTGAGATGTGTGTGCATGTGTGTATCATATGATGTATCAGAGATCTGTATGACTGAAAATACTGAAATTAAATATTAAAGTTTAACTTCAACTCCATGTGAAGTTGGGATTGTATCTGATTGATAAGAGCCAAATTAAATTTGCCTGAATTTTTAGGGCAGACCTTCAATACCAAATTTGAATGAAATCCCAGTGATTAGTTTCAGGTATTAACCCGTTGCCATGGTTCGACGTGTATGTTTCATCAGGAATTTAAATCGTCTGGGGGGGTTCGACGTGTATGTTTCGTCCAGCTGCACACCTACGTTATAACGCCCATAATAATTGATGGTTTTGCTGTAGATTGTTAGATTTTTCGCTGGCCTGTTGTCAGTAGAACAGAGTATAAATAAGACACGACT